TAAGGTCTCTTCCAGCCCAAACCATTCTGGGATTCTGTGATCCTGTTCAAAATCTGGATGTCCCCTGGTCTTTGGGAAGAGCAGGGTGAGTCAGATGGGAGATGCTGTCCCATCCTGCAGGATTGACTGGATTGTTTTTTGTTCTTGGAGCCTTTGCCTCATGGGGTTTTTCTTGCTGCAAATGGAAAGAAAATGCCTCTACAAAACAAATTTGGGGGCACAGTAAGGCTGAGTTTATTGAAAGGTTTCTCCTCGTTTGGTCTCCACGATTAAAAACCAAGCACTCGGCAGCCACTGCTCTTTTCCATCCTACCTTTCCTTCTGTTGCCAACACTTTGGGCAATGGTAAATAAATATTGTAATAGTAATTCAATATTACATTCTAGATGTGGTCTCTGGAAGGGTTTTATGGCCAGACATGGTACTGCTGCAGTTTGGGCTGAGACACGAGGGGTTGTTGGGCTGTGCTCTGCTCTTAGGGCTGTAAATCCCGAGGAACTGCTCCCCTGAGGGATCCACAGGGGCACAGGAGGCACCAGGAGCTCGGGGAGCAGGTCTGTTCCTGGGCTGTCTCCTCCACCCCCTCACCTGGGCTGCTCCAGCTCTGCCCTAAGAGCATCAGGGGCCGCAGATTATTCCTAATCCGGGTCACGGCGGTGGCTCAGCTCCCAGAGCAGCCCCAGGGACAGGTGTGGGGACACACAGCAGTGCCACCATGGGCTCTGAGCTTGCAGGAGGGCGCTGGAATCCTCAGCAGGAGGATCCCTGTGGGTTCCTGAATAACTCAGGAGGGCATGTTGTGCTGAACAAGAGCATGGAACTGCCTGAGGAGCTGGTGGCTGACAGGTCTGTGCCGTAAACAGAGCAAATGCTGCAGGGCCTGAGGGTGAGGGAGCCCTGCTTTTAGTGAGGTAATTGTTATTTAATAGTTTTTATCCATGTCAGGAGAATTTTGGGCCTCGCTTACGCTGCCAAAGCTGGTGGTAAAGCATCAACAGCACGGCTGGGTCGATAAATGTCCCTCAGGGAGGCACCGTGGCACCTTCCCAAACCACAACAAACTACCTGGCACGAGCTTCCCTTCTCCTTCCCTGCCTTCCCACCGTGGGAAGGCTTTGGCCAGCACAGTTATGTCAGCTGAGGGGGGAGGTATTTTTCTTGCTCCTAATTGACACATTTGTGCCAGCAAAGCTCCAGCAAAGTCCCCAGCCTCAGGTGGGGTTTTTCATTTGGGTTTTGGTTGGGGTTTTTTAGCAGCCAGGTTATACTAGATGGAGAATTTGTCTTTGCTCGTTCAGGCCAGGATATTGAGACAGACTTGCCTTTCTGAGAAAAAGCAGCCCCTGCTCCTTCTAGGAAAGTCTCCATTTCTTGGTAAACAATGTGTTTTATAGTGGTTAAATCTGAGGTGGAAGGTAATAGGAATAAATGGGATATTGGTGTAGTTTGGCTTGACTGTCAGTTGGTAACTCAGCAGCATCTCTGGGGAGAGCAACCATTTAAAATTATCTCTTAGTAGTGCTGGTTTCTGAATTTCTGTCACACTTGTCAGCCTGAACACCTCGTGTGGAGACCCAAGCTGGGAGTGGAGCAGATGGATCACATCCCTGCTTTACTATTGGGACAGTAAAGGTAGGAAAGGGCTGATTGTTTTATCCACATCTGCTTAGTTTGTAACACTGGTAGATTTTTTCCTGGTCCAAAGCCAGTGCCTTGATTCCCTAATTTCCCTGCAGTCACCAGTTCTGGGTGCAGGACAAGTGTTTGTGGTGCAGCAGGAGAGCACTGCTGGCACTTGTGGGGCAGCAAAGGTTGGGGACCAATGTTTTGGAGCAGAAAACATGGATTCTGCAGGAGTCCTGGTAGCCCTTGGCATTGGTGCTTATGTAGAAGCTGGGACTGCTCTTCTAACCAGCTTCATCTGTTCATCAGCTCCATGTAAACCAAAATGAATTAATGAATTCACGAATTACTCTCAGGATCCGTCGGCGGTTGGAGGGTCAGTGATGCCAGAGGGCTGGGAAGCAGGATGGAGAGGATCTCACCTTTCCCTGCAGGAGGGCAGCTCCCACAGCTCCTGAGCAGAGCTGATCCTTCTCACACACCTACCTGCTCTTTGTTCTTTTAATCACCTGTCAGCACAGACAGGACTGCTCGGATTTTCTTGCTGTTCTCTTGTTCTTCCCCACCCAGGAGCAGCCTCACAGATCTCAGTGAATCACTCCTGTGTGGGTCTAACACTGAGCCTGGTGTAGGCTGAGAAAGTCTCCTCCAGAGCAGGCAGTGACTTGGGGGTGAGGGAATGTGTGACCAGGGAGCCATTCAGACCTTCCAAGGGGCTGTGGGGAAGGGAATTTCTGGGGACCAGACCTGCCCTGATGGTCTTGGGCTGCTGCACCAGTTCACTGGGGGGAGGGAGTTTGTAGGAGTGTGATTAATGGTGCAGAAAACAAGACAATTATTTTAACCTGCACTGAATGGCTTAAAGGCAGAGCAGATTTATTGTGTTTTAAAAACTCAGGTCACTTTTCTGGTCAGTGAAGTCAAGCATCAGTTCCAAACCAAGTCGTACATCTCTGGATCATGGAAGTGCATCCATTGCACCTTTTCCTGGTTTTAGGGCCTGAGGTGACACCCAAAAGTCGCTTGGTGATCTGGTCACCAGCATTAGTAGTAGAATTTCTGCAGGACTGGAATTAGATGCATTTTTCTCCATTTAAAATCCATTCTCTGATGGGCTCATTTTTCATGAAGTCAAGCAAGGCACTCCTTGAAGAACTGTATGTGGAGTGTGTGAAATGATTCAAACGAACACGCAGATGTTAATATTTGCTTTATTGGTGTCAGTAAATGCTTTATTTGTCTGTTTGCCTGTTGTAAAAGCATCTGTCTCGGGTCTCTCACCTCCAGCAGTGTTGTCCAGCAGCCTGAGGGTGCTAACTTCTGGAATTCCACACAAGTCAGGATGAGACTGTCTCCATTTATCCTTGAGCTGGGCTGATAGGAGATGATAAATGAGCCCTCACTTTCCTGTGATGATGGATACAACCAAACCCCATCCTAACTTTGTTTGGCATGTCAGCACAATCTGTTCCTTTATTGTGTGTAATTAAAAAAACCCATCAAACTGCAAACACTCCTTTAATTAAAGCCCCCACAGCCACAGTTTGTCATGCTCAGTGCTCTGTGTTTGTTAAATGATCTGGGTTTGATTGCTGAGGATGCACAGTGGGGTTGGGTGGAGTTTTTAGGGTTTCAGGTGTTGGGATGGTGCTGAGGATCAGGGTGGTGTCACATTGCTAAAGGGGACTTTGTGCAGAGGGAGAAGTTTGCTCTACTCACATATGTGAGTGGAATCAGGTTTATTATATATTATATATAAATAGAGAGACTGCATCAATACCTGGTAAAATAGAAGGGAAAATACTCAGCTGTGTAAAGGGATTAAACCATCATGAAGTGCTATAACCATGTTCTTGGAACAAGGCTTTCCCTGTTGCCTGGTTGAAGAAGCCCCTGTGTGAGGTGTTCCTCTGTTGTGCTGAGTCCCAGTTCCAGAGCTGCTCCCTGGATTTCTCCCTGTGGGCAGTGGTGACCCTGAAGGGATGGGCCTTTATCCCCAGGGGTTTTCCCTGCTTTGACACAGCATTACTCTGCTGCATTTGATGACAGTGTTTGTGGGTTTAGTGCAGGTGGAATATGTGGCTGGTTGTCTTTCCTCCCTGGGATGGGAGGGAGGAGCAGGGCAGAGCCATTGCTGGTGCTGCAGGAGCCTTCACAACTTTCTGGGCTGTAAAGGCTCCCTCACAAAGCTCAGCCCTTTATGCCCAGCGATTTGTTCTCTTCAATAGAGCTCTTCTGTTGAAGTTAAACTGCTTTTAAATCATGTACACAATGGCACTTTTGTCGGGAGGCCTCTCGCTTTCACCCAGGGCCTCAGGAAGAGGGGTTGACATTCCAGGGCATTGTTCTGCTCCCATTCAACCTGGGCCCAGCCTCTGCTCCCGAGCTTGGCTGTGTCACCCACTTCTGCCCTGCCTGGCTCTCCTTGTCCTTCCACTGGGAATTCAGCTCTCTGGAGCAGAGCTGGATGGTTCTGGCAGAGGGACGGGTTTCCCCAGCAGGAGGTTTGAGGGAGGGCTCCTGGGCCACGTCCTCCTCTCTTTGTAGGTTCTTGTGTTTGTTCTGGAAGGGGATAAACTTCATCTCTTCCATCAGCTACTTTAGTTATCTGTTAAATAAAACAAAGGCAGTAATGGGCTGCCCAGAGAGGTGGTGGGGTCCCCATCCTGGAGGTGCCCAGGGAATGACTGGACGTTGCACTCAGTGCTCTGGGCTGGGGGACAAGGTGGTGTTTGGGCAAAGGTTGGACTCAGTGATCTTGGAGGTCTTTTCCAGTCTCAGTGACTCTGTGGTTCTGTGTTTTTACTTTGTGATGGCTTGAGCAGACTGAGGGGGTTAAACAGCCTGGGATGGCCCAGGTGCAAGAGGTTCAGTGAAAGCAGGGTGTGCTGGCAGGGCAGGTACAGCAATGAGAGAGCTACAAACACCCTCAGAGACTGTTAGTCACCCATTTGTTCCAGAGGTGCCTTTCACTACTAGAATGAGAGCCAGTAACAAAGCATTTATTCCTGAGTGTAGATTACAGACTGTGTTTGCACTGGAGATGACCAGCTTTTCTAGTTTAGCCTTGTTCCTTTTCAGAGATGAGAATTCCAGCTCCCAGGTGCTGCCCACTGTCCAAAACAGCTCCCACCTGAAGCTGCTCTGCAGATAAACGTGTCTTTGTGTTAAATTCCTCCCTTACAGCTCCTGTTAATTCTGCACCAGCCAAGGAGTACAACAAAGGCCGGGTCTCTGTTCAGTATTGAACCTCGGAAAAGCTGTTCCTGTAAATAATTGTTATCGGTGTTACTATAGTTCTTCCGTGCTCTGTAGAACAAGTTCTGCCCAAGGCAGCCAGATCTGAACTGAAGTGGTTGTTTTGTTTTGTTGTGCAGTGTCCAAAAAGCACGGGAAGCTCATCACCTTCCTCCGGACATTCATGAAGTCGCGCCCAACGAAACAGAAACTGAAACAGAGGGGGATCCTCAAGGAAAGGGTGTTTGGCTGTGACCTGGGAGAGCACCTGCTCAACTCTGGCCACGATGGTAAGAAACACTCCTGAGCTCTTCCTCCTGTGGGAATCTCATCTCGGGGTGGTTGGAGCCACAGAGGGCTGGGGGAGAAATGGGTAACAAAAGTCGAGGGGGAAAGGGAAGCTGAGGGGAATGAGGGGAAATGTTGTGGTTTGATGTGGGAAGCGTCGTGGTTCAGTGTGGGAGCACTGCAGATGCCTGGAACTGCTGAAGATGAGTTTTCAACCTCTTGAAGTCTTCAAATAATTCTTTTTCCAGGAAGATAAGTTTTATTTATACATCGATGTCAGTGATTAATTAACAGGGGTGTTAAATCTCTGTATTTCTCTAACTTGGTACCTTTGTGTGATTCCAGCACAATTCACAGTGTAAATCCTTCTTCTGCCTTTTCCCTTGATTTCACAGAATTTACAGGAATTAACTGGATATTATTTTTCATCCCAGCTTACTTTTCTCTCTGTTGTGGTGAGATTTCTGGATCCCTTCTCAGTCACTTTCCCTTCCCAATCACCCCTTTAGGGAGGCAGAGGAGAAGAGCTCTCCATTCCAAGAAAACTCTTCCTGGGATGAGCTTGGGTTTCATGTGCTTTTCCTCCCCTGCCCCTGGGCCATGTCCAGTCCAGGCTGTGCAGGGGAAGTACCTGCAGGTGCCAAGGAGCAAACAGAGCCCTTGATGCTGTCACAGTGACTTGGATGCTGTCACAGGTCACCAGCCAAGCTCGTTCCATTGACAGCCACGCTGAGGGGTGTTTAGCAAAGCAGGATGGAGCAGCCATGGGCTTGCCCGGGAGTTAAAGGCATCAGGAAATCAGGGATGGAAGTAGCACCACTGTCTGGCTGTGTCAGCTTGCTCTGTTTGGTGGTTCTGCTCCTTGCAGAGGGTTTGCAGCAGTTCTTGTGCCCGAGTTGTTCATCCGATGTCTCCCAGCTTTTGTGTGCAGGCTGAGGGAGAAGCAATGGGACATTTGGGGCAGGAAGGGAGATTCTGTTGTTACTTCAGACTCCTGGTTTATCCAGTGCCTTTTGGAAAAGGGCTGGCAAAGGGCAGGGAGCCATTTCATGCACTTTTTCCCCGGGATTCGGTTGGTAACAGCAATGTGCCCTCCCTCCCGTGACACAAAGTGTTTTACTACCAGTTAGTGAATAATACGAGCTTGTTCTTATGGAATCAGGGCTGGAGGAAGGCTCTTTGCCCTGTTAATTGGAACCAGTAGGGATCTTTACTGCTGGGGCTTGGAAAGCATCAGAGAGCCAGAACCTGGCTGGTTTGGAGACAGGAACAGACAGTAACCCCTGTAAGAGCTGCAGCAGGAGTTGGGAATTCACACCATGGTAGCTATGGAGCTGGGTTTGTGTTCATGCTGTGGGAGCAGCCTTGGAGGGCAGGAGCCATGCCAGCAGTGAGCTCATTAGTGGGAGAGGGAACATTCCCTTTATCCCCAGCCCTCTCCGTTTTTGTAGGCACAAGTCAGCCATGGCTGAAGCTTTGCCCTGCCCTCTCTTCCCCTGGCTTTAAGGGTACATGTTTTATTTAGCATTAGAAGACACATCCTGAGCTGAACTGCACTGTTCTAACCCAGTGTTTGACAGTCTCTGGAAGTTCTGTCCTTGTCCTGGTCACTGCCCACCATCACACGGGATGGGGTGACTCTGCCTGAGCTGTGCTAATGAGGGCCCTGCAGCTCAGAAGTCACCAGTTGCTTTCCCTCTTGATTTAATAACTCTTTCCTAACTCCCTGGAGTGCAGCAGATCCAATTTGAGTGTTGCTAACAGGGGCATGGCTCCGTTTCCCACAGCAGGATTGTTGTTTTCTGGGTGATTCAGCTCCTGACCTGTATTCCAAGTGATGTAATCCCGGGATGGGTTTTGTGGAGATGTTTCTGGGGCCCTGTGAACTGAGCTCTGTGCATGCACAGCATTTTAAGATCCCCTCCTTCTGTAGCATTAATGTGGCTCAGTCCTGGAGCCAGAGGCAGTGCTGACCTGCTGAAAGGTGTCGGGGAGACCCTGAGGGGAATTAGAGCATAACCAGGACAAGGAATTTTCTGGGAGCACAGAGAACACTGTGGCTGAAGTCTGTGTGTGGTACCTGCTGGTGATGCTTTGGGATCACAATCTAAGTTCAGAAGAACAAAAAGAACCCAATATATTCATTGATTTGTTTAAATGAATTCTAGTTTTGGTAGGTCAATGTCCAATACCCAGAAATATTTAGCAGGACTGAAGGAGCAAATGACACCATGCCCAGAGACTGGAACGAGTGACGTGCTGACATTGAACCAAACTGGAGTTATGTTAAGAATTGTATTAATTATCAGCTTTAGGAAGCTGACAAAGCCTAAATTCTCAAAAATGTGCTGTAAAACATGAGTTTTGCAGTCATGAATATTTGAACCTTTGCTTGTCTTTCAGGTGGGAATTGGTGAGTGAGAAGCGGAACGAGAGAATAAAAGGGATGAGGACAAAAGCTGCAATAGGTGTAACATTTTTTTAATAAAGCCTCTGCTGAGGCAGCTGGCTCAGAGTGCTTAGGCAGGAGAGGAGTGTGTTTGCTCTGTGCCCAGAGGGGGACTGACAAACACGGAGGAGATGTTTTACCTCCTGCAGTACCTTGGCTTTCTGTGGGCTCAGCAAGTCCCCGCTCGTTCTGCAGCCGTCCAGCCTCGCTGGGAGGGAGAATAAACTGCCATGAGCTGCACAGGAGGAAAGTGATGCAGAATTGTGACCTGGTTTGATGGTACAGAGCAGGATCCCATCCTGCAAAGCTCCACGTTCAGCACACGCCGAGCTCTGACCTAGCAAAGCCTTTGGTGTGGTTTCCCTGAGGTTTTGGAATGTGGTTTCCCTGAGTTTTTGGGGTGAGGCCAGTGCTGTCCCTGCTGGAAGGTGCCTCTCAGGCTGGTGGGACAGAGTGTGCAGCTGCTAAACTTTGGGACAGGATGGTCTGTGCCCAGAGATTGTCCTTGGGGAGGGTGTCTGAGAGAGGTGGGGTGGATGGAGCAGGGGCTGCTGTTGCTGCTGCTTTGGTTGCTGTTGGTGAGGAGGTGGTTGGTCATTTCCCTCGTTGTGCTGGGTGGATCTGAGCAGTGACACTGAGCAGGAATAGGGAGAGAGGTGAGGATTTGAACAAGTGTTTGCAAGAACAGTGTGAGGGACAAGACACCTTCAAATCCTCCTGTGTGCCTGGTGATTCATGGTGGGGATTGAGGTGATCTCTGGGCAGTGTCCTGGGGTTTGGTGTGTTTGTTGTTTAATTCCAGTTTGTGTTGTGCTGCCACTGAGCTCTCCAAACAGTGCTGGAGCCCCTCTGGGGTAGGAGTGCCACCTCCTGTGGTGCCCAGCAGTCCTTTCCCCCAGGCCCTGGGAGGGCAGTGAGGGGAAGGAAGCATCACTGTCCAGTCTCTCAGGTGAGGTTCTGAGTCATGGGCAGATCACAGGATTATTTTCCAAAATCATTTGTTTCCAAGCTGCTTGGGAAATTGGGAATTAGGAGCCTCTGCTCCAGGTGTGTTGCTCCCAGTGAAAGTCTCAGCAGTCAGTGCCTTGGTTCCTCTCCTGTCACATGTCAGCACTGAATGATGGGCTGGGCCCTGCAGGAGTAGAACTGGTTTTGATAAGGAGGGATTTTGAGCTCCTCTATTGGGTCTAAATCTGGCACAGCCTGTGGTGATGCTCCCTTCAAGTATGTTGGTTTGCACAATATTTCTCCAGTCGGCTCTGTCTGCATCCCATCCCAGTCCTTACTCATCCCTTGGCTCCTGCTGGAATTGGATCCTTCCCCTGCCAGGGCAGTGTCAGTTGGAAGCAGCCCAGGCTCAGCAGGGAGGATCTGTTTCTTCATCACCCTCAGAGGTGCTCCCGGTTGGTTTGGAGCTGTTCACACCTGCCATGATTTGGTTTTCCAGAATCACAGGATATCCTGAGTTGGAAGGGACTCACAAAGCTCATCAGTCCAACCCCTGGCCCTGCACAGACACCCCAACAACCCCACCCTGTCCCTGAGACCATTGTCCAAACCCTCCTGGAGCTCTGGCAGCCTTGGGGCTGTGCCCACTGCCCTGGGGAGCCTGGGCAGTGCCCAACCAGCCTCTGGGGGAAGAACCTTTGCCTGAGATCCAACCTGACCCTGCCCTGGCTCAGCTCCAGCCGTTCCTTGCATTCTGTCACAGTTCTCTGGAGCTCTGTGAGATGCAGCAAATTCACCCTAATCCCTGGTGCCTGAAGAGACCTTGTTCTTGTTCCCTTTGTAGGTAGACATTCTTTTTTCCCCCAAATTTTTTTCTCCCAAAGGAAACCAAACAGACCTTAAATTTAGCTCGAGCCCAGTGAGAAGGTTGTGCTCACAGAGGATGTTTGCTGAGCGTGGGAGCTGCTGAAGTGCTGCATTGCAGCATCTGCTCCATGGCCTGCTTTGTGCCTCGGAACAGTTCCACCCGGAGCTCCCCCAGAGCCCAGGGGGTGTGACATGGGTGGGAGAGCGGGGATGTGAGGAGGGGTGTCCTGCTGGGCTGCAGAGGGGCAGTGCCTGGGGAGCTGGGCACGTTCCTGGAGCTGGTGGAGGTCCCAGGGTTACGGAGCTGCAGTTCCGGGGCCGTTCCGCTCCCTCGGGATGGGTCGGCAGCACCAGGGAAAAGCCACGATCCCCCTGTGGGAAGGAGGGAATCCTGAGCTGCAGCACAGGAGGGGTTACTGTACTTCTTATCCAAATGCTCTGGGAATGATGTGCTGGGATTGCTTGGACTGCAGCGGATGGGGGATAGAATCCTACCTGTTCTCCCCACCAGATATTCCTGTCACCTGGCACTTGTTGGGAATGACCCTTTCACTCCCAGACCAGAGCACAGGCTTAGCCCTGGTGCACCCCAGTATGGTGATGTCAAGTGTTCACCTCGAGGGATAATCCATCCCCACAGCCCAGCTGCATCCACAGAGGATTTTGTGGGCTGAAAGCAAATGGCATTTTTTGTACCTCTTTATGTCTTTGTCCCATCGATACATAACCAGCTTCCGT